CATTTAGACTATTTTTTTGTTTGTAAAAGTACCTGATAACATAGAATCATAGAATGTCAAGATGGAAGGGACCTGTAAGGATCATTGAATTCAGCTCCTTAGCTGGACTTTAGGACTGCCTAAACCTAAACAATATGACTAAGAGTATCGTCCAGACACTAGTGGAACTCACAAGTTTTGTGTTGTATCCTCTTCACTGGGAGAGCCTGTTCCACTGACTGACGACCTTGTCGGTGAAGAACCCTTTCTAATGTCAAGTCCGAACTTCCTCTCACAGCTTCATTCCATTTCCTTGTGTTTCCTTGTGAGAGAGATCAGCACTTCCCCAGCCACTGACTCCGCTGAGGAAGTTGTAAACTGGGATGAGGTCACCTCTGAGCCACCTTCTCCAAGCTGAACAAGCCAAATAGACTCAGGTGTTGCCTCCAAGACATGCCCTTGAGGTCTTTCAGCATTTTAGAGTCAGAACTGTTTAAATTGCAAAAGATCTCTAAGACCATCTAATCCAATCATTAATTTAGCACTGCCAAATCCACGTTCCCCATGCCTTATCTGCCCTGCCAATTCCTCCTGAAGAGCCTGCAATCATCCCTCATGGCAAACCATAGGACTCATGTCAGCAGGTTTTGCTTATGCCAATGGTGCTATAGCTGTAGGACTGAAACAAAATTTCTAGCTTCTCTTGTTTTTTCAAATGTTCTCAGCACATCATGGAGCAGCCTGAAGCACCTCATTAGTATACCATCTCTCAAACACTGATTTTTCTTTAACGAGCCTGCTTTTACCCCTTTCCTACTTCAAATCTAGTTAAAAACCCTTTCAATGAACCCTAGTTCCTGTGCAAAGGTCCTTTATCCTTGGTGCACCCTTTCTGTTGTCAGCAGGCTTAGTGTCCTGTATTCCATCAGTGACCAAAACCCACAAAATTCTGCTGGTGACACCAGGCACAGAGACAGGCATTGATTTGCTAAGCATTTCTGTTTCTTCCGTTATTGTTCCCTGCTACTCAAAGGATAGAGGAGAACACTAATTATCTTCCTGACCTTTCAGTCAACCTTTGTAAATGACCACAAATTTTTATCAATTTGGTGCCAAATTAGTAATTTTGTTATCCATTTTTAATTACTGAAATGAATGCCTCATTTAAATTCAATATAAATATGTCAATGGATTTTGATTAACAAGGTTATGAATTTAAAGAGAATGTATCTTCTTTTTGTGGGTGGCTTCCTATAGGGATTACTTGGAGTTGTGAATGGGACTTTCTCCTCTCTACTTATCCTTGATAACAATGTTTGTCAAGACTGACTGGGATGTCAAGAAAGATTTGTCAAAATATATTTTCTTTCAAACATGTATTTCAAACCTCCTCCTGAGGCAGTGTCTATCTGGATATTATAAAACTATTAAAATTTGACAGCACACTGAATGTGCCTGTGTACTTGTAGTAGATTAAAAAGTAATGGTGATAAAGTACATCAGTAGTATCCAGAAAATCAATGTCAGTTCAAAAGGCAAACTGTACGAAAATTAAAGGCAATCGAAATTATTATTACTGATCATTTAAATACTGCTGTAAACACATAGTAAGAAAGAAGTTTTTATCCAGTATGAAATGTATACTCTGTGAATCAAGTCCAATTATTTCTAAAAAATGAAAGAAATTATTTCATTTGATACTATTGAATAGCTTTTTGGCATCTATTTGAAAGACCACAGTTGTAATTGTGTTTCATTTTATATTGCTGTTTGAGCATTATCTTGTATTATTAAACGTAAATACAACTTTGTAAAATTAGCTTATTCCTTCTAGATGGTACCTAGGAAAGTCCACTGTAAGCAATTATTTTCTAGTGACTATTAAAAAAAAAAATTGATTTCCAGCTCTTGCAGTGGTTTGTGGGGTTTCCACAAACTTATTATTACCATTAATTTCTGGAATGATTGCTGTGTGTCAGAATTAACTGGAAAAGCTTTTGCTGCAATTGCGATCTGGTTTGAAAAGTGGAATACTAGGAATTAGGCATTTCTCTCTAAAACTGTTGTTTATGAAAATCTCTCTTCACTGTTTTTTTCTACAAGTGAAAATAACTTCTTTTTAGTTCTTCTAAAATAAAAAAGAACTTCTTTGCCTTTTATCAACAGTGATTTGGCTAGATAGGCTTAAGGAAAAAAAAATCTCTATTTTCCCTGTTTAAGAACTCTTGAATTCCCTGCTTTTATCTATGAAACAAGTGCTGTGCCACTGCATGACAGAATAGGCAACCTACTTTGCCAAGATAGTGATACTATAAATATTGTACCAGGGAGAAAGGAAACACAGTGGAATAACACTTAATAATGTACTATAATATTTATTATTATTATTATAAGTATAATAATATTAATATTATTATAATTATTATAATCATTATGATATTATTATAATATTAATATATTTATTATAAACTTAATTATTATAATAATTAATTATTATAATATTATATTATTAATAATAGTTAATTATAGTAATTAATTCTTGAGATCAGTAATACAGTCATCTGCTAAGGGCCAGGAACAAAAGAGGGTACTTGCTTGGCTCGGTTCTAGTTATTAGTTTGAAGATCATCAATGCACTTCTGCCAAACTAGATGCTTATGTAAAAAACAATGCATCAACACTTCTGCAAAACTTGTTTAGACCCCACTGCTCCATGCAGACCCATCAAGGAAAAGAGGAAATCTACACTATGTAGGTTGTCTCTCTGGGATAATAACTCATATTTTTTGCCAAATGGTTACTGGGTATCACAACTGATCAACCAGTGAGAGGATGTGAATCCCCTCTAGTCATCTTTGCTTTCTCAGTATAGTGTAAACATTGGGTATATAAAAATGGGCATTGATATTTGTATTTACAGCTGTGTTTGACCTTAATTGATTTACCTGTACTTTGCAGACATCCTTGTCCTTAAGATTAATACCAGTTCTGATCAAAGGACTGCTGGTCAAACATAAACCTCAAGAGAGGGAAATTGTAGAATATGACTTGGATTAAATATCTTCTACATTTAGGCCAAAGAAAGAAGATGTCCTGTAAGTGGATCAAAACACTAGCAGGTATTTGCTCTGAAGCAAATTCTGGTCTCCTAGGGCAAATTTTTTTTAGCAAAACATCTACGAATTTTGCTTCTTGAGGATTTGTATAGCAATTAAGTGGAGTTGAGATTTGAGACAGCATTTTATGTTTTGAGGTAAAATCCTTTTCGAGTCACCCTGTTCACATCCTGCTTTAAATTGCGTACCAGATTTTTTCACCTCACCCTGTATGAAACAGACAAAACTAAGAGACTGTGGTACTTTACATGAACATTAGAAACTCCGTGTTAGGCTTAAGCTGACCAGTCCTGATTCAAGATCTGCAGAACACACTGTCTCAGTATGCCACCTTTTCTATATGACTCCTGGGAAGTTCACAGTGATGGCAAAATATATTCATGTCTTTCTGAAATATGACTTGGAGTTATGCTTTTAGGTGAGTCTGGTCTAATTCATCAGATGGGGTCAATCCTGCACAATTCTTTGAATGAAATTGACCAAGAAAACCAACAAGAGTCATTAAATTCCCCAAACCATGGAAAATCAAGGACTATCATGCTTCCTGCTAGAGCTTAGAAGAACTTCAGTGTGGTTCGCAATTGCTCATCAATTGGTAGGGCAATTTCCCAATCAGTCTTTGAGTTAGCAGTGTCCTTTTAACACAACCATTATCCTCCTAGCAGCAGTTGCAGTTTAAGCCAGTAAAAAAGTGTCTTTTGGCTGTCAGAGTAGTAAAAAGGGGTTACAAAAGAATTAAAATCAAGATTCAGATTCATTTCAGATAGTGATGAGGGAAGCACACAAGATGAAAGGCAGTAACAAGTAATAGGAGAGGCAGAAAGGGAACAGACAGAACGCCTATGAGCACTGGGTCTGCCAGCTTTAAGACTTTAAAGTATTTGGAAGGCAATGATATTGCATAGGGTTTTATGACTGCTGCTAGGGTGTCTTGGTCCAGCATCATAAGGGAGATATTCAGGAAGGTATCTGTTCTGAATAGAATTTTTTAAATGTTGTGCTATTATATGAAAAAAAAAATGCAATAGTGTTAGTAAGAGAGTATTATTGGTAATATCAACCAAATTGTTGTCCTCTGCCCAGCCTCCCAGAACACAAATTTCAAATCTCTATTATGGAGATGTAACACATCTAGTGTTGTGCATATGGTTGTATATATTTGAAGCCCATTTCATAATGCCAACACCTCAGGCTGGACAGATCAGACAGTTGCATTCACAGAGAAGGTAGGTATGTCACAATATGACTCCAAAGAACAGGAATACTACACCATTTTCTTCCTACTCTTGTTTCGATTCTTTGTGAAAGACCGTATTTTTATTTCTTCCCAAAGCTATATGTCTCTTGAGTCTCGTAAATATCTCTCCTGCATTAGTCAAACCAGACCAAGTCAATCAACTTTAGCTGATGTTGAATGCTGTAGAAGTTTACATGTAACCTGAAAATATGAATTTTTGAAGTACCATAGTCAAATTGATATATACCTCGTTATTTAAATGCAGGTTTGTGATAGTTTTCACCCTAGGCCTTCCTGGAGACCAGCTTGTAACCAGGAAGGAACTAGGAAGGTGACCCAGGAAGTATTCCATGCTATTCATTTACGTAATCTGGGGTATAAATAAGGCATAGATAAGAGAGCTCTCTCTCTTCCTTTCCGGTGAGGTTTGAGAACGGTGGGTCCCTGTCTCGGTCTTGCTTATCTGGAGGCCTGCAGTGACTGCTTTTGTCTGCCACGTGTGAGGGGAGGGTGCTGGGCCATGTTCAGCCATCCTACTTCTCTGAAGGGAAGTGGTGAGATTTTACCAGTTCTTTATTTTGCTGGTTTACCAGATATTTAGATTGTCCATACCTGTTTTGCTTCTGTCCCTTTTCATCCTTTTTTTGTCTTTTTTATCGTTCTCCCTTCCCGTCTTCCCTATTAGGAAGCTATTTGGGGTTTCTGGGGTTATAGGTATATAGTATTCTCACTGTATATATCTGTTTTATATGTAAAATATATATTTTTGCTATAGCTTTGGCTGTTTGGTTTTTCTTTTTTTTTTTTTCTTCTCTCCTTGGGAAACAGACTCTGTTGTTGAGTTTCGGAGACTTGGCAGGAAGCCAGCTCTAAACTTGCACAAGGTTACAGATAGGTGGCTTCAACTACTGCGTTTGCATCTCTTTGTGGTTGTAAGTTTTCCGGTGTCTTCCCATTTTTGACCACGCTTTCTTCCTATGCTCTCATACAGAAGATGATCAGGAAGCTGACTAATTTACTTCTCTGTGGAAGCTATGAAATGGACTTTAAAAGTCACAGCATGAACCATGGATTTCAAAGTGGTCTGTACAAGCTGTAGGGGTCCAGTTGTGCACATCTCACAATGGGACTCTAGCTCAGTAAGTTGACAGAAGGAAGAGAGGAGAGTTATGCTGCTGTACATGGAATGTGTTGAGGCTTTGATTTTAAGAAATAAGAAATATAAATTATTTTATCTATACCTTAAAGATGAGAGAGAAGGATCAAGTGTGTTCAGAATCATGTTCTACAAGCTCAACCTATTTTGAGGCTTGTTTCCTTTATAACTCAAACTTCTGGAAATGCAGGGTGAAAGAGCCAAACGGGCATCAATTCCATTCAAAATGCCCATCTGCTGCTACAAAACCTATATGAATTGTAACATAGCAACCTGTATTTCCTCTTGTAGTTGGAATCCCTGGGTTACTATTTGCTCTGTGAGTGTGTTGTCCTTGATATAGGCAGAGTAAATCCTGTTGTGATACCGATATTAATACACTTTTTCCATAAAAATCTATAGAACTTTTCTTGTAATTATCATACTCATCTTGACTTTTTTTCACTTTCCATTTTCCCATTTTTGACAACTGGACAATATTATACATTTAGAGGTATATTTATTTTCCTCAGAGAAAGATTATAAACCTGCTTGTTAACATAAAGAAGCTAAATAGGGATTTTTTGGTATCATTGTGTACTAAATTTTTTCCAAATTGCAATTCCATGGGGAAGAGTTGCTCTTGCTGACACACTCATTCCCTTCATGAGTGTTTAATGCAATTTGTCTTCAATTGTAAATTATTCTGTTCTGGCAAACAAGGAGATTTTAAAGAAAAGGGATCATATTATCAGCTGCAGCTTATATTTACCAAGATTTTGTAAATTGTAGAGAGGTAGTCAGAATTGAGTTATGCTACCTCTCATAACATTTGTTATTCTACAGTTTCCAAACTTCTTTATCAAAAATTTCAATGAATTTTCAGTTTAATCTTAGAAATTGCCAACTTAGATAATACTGAAATCTTTTAATGTAATGTATTTCTTTGACTGCTTTATTCATGTTTTGCTATTGTCAATAAATATGATTCATATATATAATGTTGATATTACTTATTTGTTTATTGGACAAATGTAACAAAGACTTTTCTAATATAGATAAATTTGACATATTTCTACGAAAATTCTGGACTTAAAGGAAATTATTTTTTAGAAGAAAAGGAGCAAGTGAAAATGTTTTTCCAGCATCTAATTTATACACCTTTCAAACATACATTTTTTTACTATTAGAAGAATCTCTGACCCTCCTTATTTTTAAAATATTTTTAAATTACATTTCCCCTGTGCAGTAGACATCTTAGAAAAACTTGAAATCATGGAAAGATCAACAAATTGCAACCTTGTCTGATAAAACAGCAGCATATTAATGTTCATGTATTGTTAATTTTCATTTGGAATGGGATTTAATTTGTTTATAGAAATAGGTAAAAAAATACATCTAAAATATTTTTAATGTAACTTGTTTTTCCAAACTGATATGTATGTAGAACAGTAGTAGCATAAATATTTTCCATTTGTATTGTAATAACACTATATATCTGTATGTGTTCAAAGACTACTTTAGTGAAAGAGACAAAGCTCTGACAAGATGTAGAAGAAAGAGGAGAAATATCTACATAGAGGTCTATAAAATTTGTTAATTTTTATAGATGATGAATGGGAAATATTGTTTCCTATTTCAAATTCTCCCCCATCAAAAAAAAATACATTATTGGGGTACATAAGGGACATTCTTTTTTAATGGAAGAAGTAATTGAATATAGGAAACAATGCTACTTTGTTATACTGATACAAATGAGAAAGTCAAAGAAATAAAAGTGTTAAAACAGACTAAATCAGGTTCTGAAATAGGGACTTAATGACACCTACTGAGGACAGTGATTCCTTCATATCAGGTCTTCAATGACTGACAGAAAGATGCATCAGAGGAAATTCTTGTCATGTATGTAATCCTGGTTTTTTTTCTCCTAAATATCCACTGCCCATAATTTATCAATATCATCATCTGGATGGGTAGTTCAAGTCAAAAGTGTGAAAAATCTTGGAACTTATAAACTGAAAACATACTACAATAAGAGATATATCTGGATGAATAACCATTGAACCAGATAAGGATTTGAATCAATTATACTGGAACAGGGTGCCTAGAGAAGTTGTGGATGCCCCATACCTGGAAGTGTTCAAGGCGATATTTGAACAACCTGGTCTAGTGGAAGGTGTCCCTGCCAAAGGCAGGGAGGATGGAAATAGATGATCTTTCAGGTCCCTTGCAACTTAAACCATCCTAAAATTTGGTGGTCTTTGTTTAATATTTGTTTTTTGGTGTATACTGTTATTTAAACTTGAACATCTTTTCCAAACACAAAAAACCATCAGGAAATTCTTTTTAGGAAGGTAATTACAGACTGCAGTTACCTGTGCATGGAGGGGAAAAACTAATCCTTATAAAAAAGGTATTTTCTTATTAGTGAAAAAAATAAAACTAACCAGAATTAAAGTCGGAGAGTGTTTTGATTATTCCAACATCCTGGCAAACTGAAGGACCAAGGAAATCATGACATGAAACACTGAGGAGAAAGAAATTGTAGACTTGAGAGTAGTAAGAATACTTTTTAAGGTCCAAGTTAAAGATTTTTTTCCTTATAATACTTAGTAAACAATGGTAACACAGAGCTTTATTAAACTTTCCTTTATATTACAGTATAAGAAATAAGTCCTTTCTATACCATTACCCCCATATAAACAAACAAACAAAGACAACCCTACAAGACCAAACTTCCCTGGGGCTGACAATTACAGTTATATTGAAATTGGGAAAGGAGTGTGGGTCAACATATGACTCTCATGAAATCTTTAAAGAAGGAGAAGAGTACACAACCCAGTCTAAAATAGAACAATCTAATGTAAAAAAGTATCCAGAGTTATCATACATTAGTAATCTCACAAATACACCTGCATAAGTGTGGGTAGTTAAACAAACAATATATTCTATATTATTTTTAAGAATTATTCTGAATAACTGTAGTTTTTAATTTCATAAGCAGCTAATGTGAAGACATAATGGAAGGACTTAGTTAAAATAACAGCAATCAATCTTTATTCAAATTATGAATCAAAGGCAGATTTATGTCTTCCTTTCAGTTAAAAAAAATGATTAATTATCCCTCCTTTTTTAAAATATTTGCTTATTTATTTGTAAGTTCTGGATTGCAAGAGGAGTAAATAATGTCAAATCACAGAGAAATTCAAGTGCTGTTCATGAAAGTCTGGGGAAATATTAGTGGAAAACTCTGCTTTTGAACATTAACTTTTAACCTGACATTTAGAATCAGAAGTTTCAGGTAATGTTGTAGGATGAAATTAGTCATACTTCTTTCTGTGTTATTGCCAGATTTAAATACAGTTCCTTAATTTTTTTTACGGTCACCTTTGTCTACCCTCAGATGCAATTCTCAGCAGTCCCTGTTGAACAATAACTACAACACCCAACAATGTGAGTTTTTGGATGTAACTTCTTGGCAACATTCCACTTCAGTCTGAGGAAATGACTGAACCTCACTGGCATGACTTTTTTGTGCTGAACCCAAGGCAAACACTGGATGACTGTTTAGGTCATTCCTTTGTAAAATACCAAAACATTTTAAATTTCTATCGAGTTTTCAAACAAAACAGTTGATTTATTAATGAGTTGTACTTGTATGGAATTTGGGAGGGATGCTTTTTTATAGTTCTGGTATAATAAAATTTCAGCATCAGTTTTGCTTAGGAGTGAAAAATAAGAACTGCTCTAAATCAATGTCTGATTTATACTTTGTGGTAAAATTAAAAAAGTTAATGAGTTCTGAACAGTATGGTCTTTTCCTCAAATCTTTAGTACAACAATTACTGGACACAGCTAAAAAAGACAGAAAACTCAAAGCCACAGTTTAACTGAGAAGCAAATTATTCTGATTTTTTATGATTTTTTTATTTAGGAAGACTAGTTCTGTGAGCCTTTTTAAAGCTTTCAAACAATTCATAACTATTCCCTGATTTGAATATGTAAATTGTTATATAAGCTATCTTGAATGTTACCATATCTTGAATCATATCATATGAATGCAAACAATATCAATAGTACTATCACTGAGGAACTGTATTCTACTTGTAAACAGGACCAAAAATTTATGTGGATCAAGACATATCTGAATGCTTTCCTGACCAATTGTTCTTAAAGAAAAAGCAAACAAACAATAAAACAACCCCCCTCAACCCCAAAACATGGGGGGAAAAATCCTACAAAAGAAACAGAAAATAATTCAGAAGGACAAAAATTTGTAGCTGCTTACATTGCATTTAAAAACTGTAGCAGAATGTCAAAGTCTTGACTCTATTTTTTTCTGAATATATGTCAGCAAAGATGAAGCTGGAAATCTTCCTTTGCGGTTGTGATTCATAGTTTGGGAATTTCAGTACCCAGCTCAGAACTGTTTGATTCTGCTTCTCAATACGGGAGTAAGGCATAGTATTTTTCCCAGGCAACCAGTTTAATTATTGCCAGAGAGCTATTTTTCTTTTTCTTTAGCCAAGTATAGCATTATTAGACTAATTAACTTTACCAATAGGATTTGTCAACATTCTAGGCAGTTATTTTGGATGGCAATTTCTCTTCCCTGAAGGTTTCGTTGCATTCAAGAAATTGAGATAATGCAGTACATTTTTTTGCTTCTCAAATTTCAGTCCTCCATCAGCCTGGCAACCACTATGAACTGGCATAAGAGATCCCTATGAGTGTCAAGAAACAATTTTTGCTCTGGGGGATGGAAAACAAGATTTTTGTTGTCTTATTTGGTATTTTATTTAAATGGTTGTGTTGAAATAAGAAAGGGTTGACTAAAAAGAATTCTTTCTCCATAAAACAAGCAGGGAATAATTTTCTTGGCACCTCATTTTGAGATGCTTATTTGGTACCTTTTCATCATTCCTTTTTCAATGACTACCAAGACAAATGAACTAAATCCAAGGCACTCTCTAAAGGTCATTACCTTTGCATCTCAGCTGGTTTACACCTCTTGCTGCTTGGCTACATAATATCAACTGACAAAGCTGATGGCTGACCCCAGGTAAAGATTTATGAAAAGGCAAGTGTCCAGCATTGTTTGCTTTTCTTTGGTTCAGCGATCTGTTCCTGTGGTGATTTTCCCATAGTGTGCAAGAAAGAAGGTCACACGATTTCTCTCCATATTATCTGAGAGTCTAAAACTGTGTTCTAAGTTAATGGACTAATTCCACATTTAAGAAAAAAAATATTGAAGAGGGATGCAGACTAAAGATCACTCAATGAAGAAACAGTTGCTGCCTTGAGGAAATGGGAAAAAAATGCTTCAATGACATTAAATTTTGTAAAAGACAGACAAATATCTCAGTCATTGGCATACGTTTCAGCATCGAGTAGATGGATGAGTAACGATACTCTGTCTCTAGAGAACAAACAAGCTGAAATGCTTAAATTTTTTTTCCTTTTATTCCAGTTTCAAAGGAGCTGGTTAAACATCTTACAGTTTCTATACATATAAAATACATCCATTTCTGTGCTACCCTCAAACAATTAGGAAAAACTCATAACCTCAAAAAATTATAACAGAGCAACTGAAACTGGTATATAATAAAAAAGAACTTAACTGAAAATAAAATAAAGCACAAGGATAATTTTAATTATGAAAGTTCAACCAAAAGTGTACAGAACACTGAATTCCAAAAAATATGTCTATCCTCCTTGCTTTATAAAAGTAAACAGTAAATTTTTTACAGACAGATGTACAGATTTTATAGAGTTAATGGAAATTTTAAAAAGGAAGACATCTGGGGAAATGATGCAGGCACAGCCCATCAGCAGCCGCCTCACCATCTGACAGACATGTTAGTTGTTAAGTTGCCAGTTGTCTACAGAACCTGCCAAGAGGCCAGATGCTACCATGGGTTAACACACAACAGAAATTGCTGCCCTAAGTGAAACACAGTTTAGCATGATGTTGTGTCGGTTAAACAGCATAAATCTTCTTTATAGTTGAAAATTAAAGATTTTATTCAGAAGTACACTAACTGCTAAACTTTGAAGATAAAGTCCTAAATTGTCGGTGAAATTATGAGTTTCATGAGGTGTTCAAAGAGCACTGGACTTTCTAATACTTTCTTGCAAAACATGTAGTTTGTCTGAATTTTATGGATAGACTTTAATTTAATTTATTGATTTAAAGATTTTAATGGGAATATCTCTAAATAGGGTGTCAAGAGATTGGAAAATTAGAGTAAATCATATAGAAGTTTGTAAATATCCAGAAATATTCACAGGAAGGTGGATGGGAGATTGGCTTTATTACATGACTAGTTTTGTAATGTAACACTGTATAACATATGGGTGTTTATACTGTGTATGTGTGTGTGTGTGTGTGTGTGTAGGGATACATGGATTATGTATGGCTAGGATTAGGTCTGCTAAGAACCATTACTTCCTTACAACGTCCAAGAAAATTCTGTCATCTTCCTACTGTATTGGTCTCTAACTAGTCTCAACCAAAGCACTCAACATCACCAAGTGGAGCTGGGAATAAAATGATTTTCCAGATTTCCAGACCTGGTGGTTTCATTCTCCAGATTTAGTAAAGAAATCGGGAAACCTTGTTTTTCCCCCAGTGCGCAGAGAGCTGTTTTCTCTGTTAAAGATTTCTGGTATCCAAAATTATTCCAGCAATAAAATTTGTCTTCTGTTATCTCCTTCCAGGTTCACAGTGACACCTTGTGGGGTTGTGATGAGGAGATAGAGAAAATATAGGGGGCACTGGAATTGGGCCATAGACAGCATCATTACCTACCAACTCTCTTTTCAGGATCTTCTCAGGTTCATGGTTCTCTGGTAAAAAAACAAGCAAACAAACAAACACCTTCCTTTTATAATTAGGAGAGATATAAATAGTCTTCTAAAAAAACCTCACAGATTCTGAAGGGACCTGAACTGTAGGGGGAAACCCAAGCAGAAAGCGTTTATCAAGCTAGATAGATTAGGAGCATTCACTTCCTATTTCTAGAGACTAGTGATAAAGCAGTCTCTGTCAGCCACTTACAGTGGCAGAATCTGATCAAAGATGAGATGCTGAGTGATGTCCTGCCAAATACAATATAAAAAAAATTCTGTTTGGCAGGTTTCTTACTCAGGTTGCCCATTTCTTCCTGTAAGCAGAAGGTACATATTTTTCATTTGAATCTTGGAAAAAAATGAAAAGATACTGCTGATAAAGATGTGGATATAATGTGATACATAGTACAGATTTATATTTTTTCTAATATGATGTGTGAGATTAATGTAATCATGGATCAAGAGGCAGAAACGGGACATGAGAATACACTGGCATGGAAAGCTTGCATGGAAAACCATTTGGATTTGTGGTGTTGTGGGACCAATCATCAGTACTCCCAAGAGGGATATCCAAAAGCATACATCTCATCTGAATTTTCTGAATAACAGAAAACAGTTAAGTGGGTGGAACTGTAAGCCCTTTCTTCAGTGAAGGAATAGAGAGCTTCTGTTCCTGAAACAAACTATGCAATTCTTCCATATGGTCAGCAGTATACTATTTTTGCATTGCTATTGAATAATAATAATAATTGCTATAATGTTAAGATTATGCTGATGTAACTACTCTGAAGTTAAGAAGAACATGTGGCTGATGATACCTAAACATTATATTAAAAAAATTTTTCTTATTTCTGACATGGTAGAAGGTAATGCCTGATTTCATCACCAGAGGGAAAGAATTTCCACAGAATCCAGCATTCCTGAAGAAAGGTTAAAATTTTTTGATGTTGACATGCTTTTTCACATCAGAAAAAAAAATATGGAAAGCAATGAACACTACAGAGCAGTCACATGCCTAAAATAAATAGAGAGGAAATTGTCAAAGAATTTTAACCCTTCCAATACAGCGGATAATGCTGGAGGTTCTGCAAATTGCTGCACCTTGTCTCACTCTTCTAGGGTACCAGGAGTACAGCAGATTACAGCCAATTTCTCTTCATCTTCTTGTTCATGTATGATCACAGTAAAGTATGTCACAAGGAAAGAAAGAAAAATAGCTCAGAAAAAAAAAAAAAGAAAAAGAAAGCAAGCGTTTCATTTCTAGCCAAAACAAATGATTTTGTCATCACAGATTACTGTTCTGTCATAAGAATTTCTTCCATTCAGATTCAGATGAGAGGCCTAGATTTGTAATTCAATAAAGGCAGCAGTGCCCCCTTCCAGTCTCTTGAGTTTGAATGAATTTTTCAGTACATTTTTAATAGTAGATTTTCACCCTAGATGAGCTACATCTTGTTTAACACAGGTGATTTTTTAGTTATGTTCAACAGAAATTTGTAGATAAAGTCCATGAAAGTTGTCTGATATTGGCATCATGTTTTGTGTGTTTTGCTGACTCTGTAAAAATTATTACAGCAGTTCACACAAGCATAGTCTTGATGGGACACCCATGTGGTGGATATGGCACACCAGAAAGTAAATGCTAGGCCAGATTCTCTCTTATGCTGAAACATGCCTTAGGCACTCATCTCTGTCACTGGCAAATGATCTTTCTTTGATATTCCAGATTCACTATGGAC